GGGGGATACTTGATTAAAAGTTAATCAAGTGAAAAGATTCTTTACAGTAAGATATAGATGGAGTTGAGTTTAGGAAGCTATTTTCTTCTCAAGTTGAGTTCTAGTTGCGCCAAGAAAGTGCTTAGAGCTTATTGATTGAGTATCTTTCTTTCTCTTTGATATAAGTCATTGTTTACTTTTGATAAGTTATGGGTCGCCCATCGGCAGTTTCTCAGATCACAGATTTCAGAAAGGTAAAAAGCTTTCCCAGACTACTGCAGGTGATGCATTAGCGTCGATGTGAGGAGTACTTCTCACCAACTCTGGTCTCAGATGTCGGGAAGAAAAATCACAAGTCAGCAAAGCGTTCACACACAGCAAATGTCTTGAGGTATTTACCTACAATATAGCATCGCCATTCGATTTAAAGTTAACCTCCAAAGGCGGGGAATTCCGGGGGCATCAGGAAGGTAGGAAGGTATTGTAGGTACACGGGGGTATTGTGCCATTGTGCTTGCTGGACCCCGTCTCTGGTCTCTGGTCTCTGGTCCATTGTACCCTGACTTCCGCTGCTCACTGTCGCCTTTATTCTCATCATTCTCGTTCTCATTGCATTTAACGCTCATTTCTTGATTCATTATATATTGTGATTTCTCTAAAAACGGCCAGCAGAGGAGGACGAAAGAGAAAAAAGTGTGAAGCCGAGGATGAATGAAGGAATCCTGAACAATGGTCGGGTCTTTCCGGTTTCGAATACCTTCACTATTCTTTTGCACATTTCCGAATATGATTAATTGCCGGAGTCAATTGATATTTTATTGGTCTTGGAGAAGCTGCCTGCCTCCTGGGGGAAGCTGCTTTCTCAATATGTTTATAGTATTTTGCGGAAGTTGCATTTAAACCGGAACTGTCAGCGGCTTAAGATACCTCCTAAACATTTCCAAAATATCTTTGTCTTGGGTCTTGTTAAAATGTTTGCCTCAAATGCTGACAAATGGGCTGTGCCGCGCCGACAAACATCAATTGAAAGGGCAGCTGATTAAAAAACAAAACACAACACAACAAAATGTGGAAGAAGCTGAGCTGCGGATTCAAAGAGTAGCCGACGTCGCGACGGGCAAACAACAGGGCCAAAAAGTACAAGACTCGAAAAGGCTCTAACCCGTTGCAACTAACAACTAACAAGTTTCTTGTTAAAACAACGCCGGGTCCAATAAAACCAACAACCGCCGCGCATGCGCACCGGATTGAATGTCGGACATGGAAATATACCTATATAGACAGATATTTAGTGTGACTGCCACTTGGTCAGCTGGCTTGAGGTTCCCATAAGTTTCTTCTCAGAGTCAAAGTGCGTTTCGTTTGCCTGCGTTTTTCCTCATGTACAACATTATTCAAAGGAAAATGTATTTAAACAGAGAGTTATTTAGACATGAGAATAGGCACAGGAATGCTTAAAGTCAAAGGGTTAACCTAAGGTTAGGCGGTATAACTTGGGAAATACCTACGTTTGTAAAAACTAGTAAGGTTTCGGGTGAGAAATATAACTTTAAAGGTTGGAAAGAGTATTTAAAATCTATAATGGATTAAGAAATCGTTTTATTTAATGATATATATATATATTTTTTATACAAACCTTATATTTCTGAAACAATTTCTAAGGATCTTTAAAGTAAGAGTTAGAAACATATAAATAATATTATTTCCATATCATTGGATATATTTTTATACGGTTTTCTTAGGTTTTTTATATGTAATATCATTAGGTTAAATATTAAAATTAAAAAAAAAATTTTTATTTAATGTTAGGACCATTTTTATTTGCTTGAACATTACTCAAACAATTCCCTCCTTACTTAAACCCCTTTAGACCTTTTATTTGCATTCCCGAGTTGGCACAACGGTAGTCCCCTGGCCAGAGCCCTTCGCCAGACCCTGTTTTACCTAATTACACACGAAGCTTCCCCCCTTTCTACCCATTTGGCTGCCTTCTCTAATTGTTTAAGTGCTTTTAGCGTTTGGCCAAACAATTTTCATATGCAACTCTCCATTCCACAAACAAAACCTTTCCAGTTACCATAAAGCATGAGGAGGCATGCCTCGCCTTTATTTTAAGTTGGTCTCGAAATTCGTTGTTGAATTTGGATTTTTTATTGCTGGGAAATTCTCACACATTGTCGCAAATTGAGAAAGAGAGGGAGAGAGATAGACAGGGCAGATCGAGGCCTTCCGATGTGTGACGTGAGAGAGTCAGGTGGGGGAAAAGCATTGGTGGCACCTGTGTCTTACCCACCTGGTGGCATAAAAGTAAAAATGCAAACTTCCGTTAGCCGCAAGTGCAACAATCACAGTGTTTTGCATCTGGTTTTGGAAAGGAAATTACGCTGCTTTTTCTATTTTCCTATGTGGAGCAGTTTTCCAGTTAACGAGGCGAAATTAGTTTTCTTAACAGCCTTTTCTTAATAGGTCTATGGCTGCTGTATAGAGCTTCTAAGGCATATAATTATGGTGATGCAAAACCTTTGTTTAACTGAAACTGCTTTGAATTAAGAGTGATTGTTTCCTTTATGTTGTTGAGTTCAAACATTAACTAAAAACTAGGACACTGAAGTCTATAAAAAAATAGTCTGGAAAAATGATTTGTTTAGTAAATATATCAGAAAAATCATTATTTTAGAAACCTATAACATATACTTTTGTTAATTTCGTGTATTTATATATATTGCAAGATTTTATTAAATAATTACTGACCTCAATATATTTTCCAAATGCTATTGGAAAATGTTTCTAGGCATATAAAATGTTTAAAAACCAAATAAGGTTTTATAGTTTAAAGAAACATATGCAATCTTATCATATCATATGCAATTTCTATCTTTTTTATTTATATCAATGAAAACCCCGTTTAATTTTCTAGTTTTTATTTTTGCGGAAATCTGGTTACACATGTTTTTTGGGCCATAAATAACTTGTATTTATTTGCTGGCCAAGATAACAAATCAAATTCATGAATTGCCTTGGCCAAATCCAACTATTAACAGTTGCCTCAATTTCGGGCAATGTATAAATTTAACAAGTTTTATGGTAGATAAGGCAGTTGGAAAAGATTTGCATCTCTCAGGGAAAATATACATTTTCTGGGCGACGGAAATATGCAAGTTATGTCAGTGGAGAGCTGAATTGGGAAAAATGTGTGTGTGTGTGCACATGTTGGCACAAAGTTATGGCCATTTAAAGTTGATTTTCTTGTTGTCACAGTTGTCTCCGTTTTTACTCCTCCGTTATATATAAATCTATTTTTTATGTTTGCTAGCTCGTAAATAGTTGTAGTTGCTGCTCTTCTTCAACTGTATCGGATGACACAATATTTTTAAGGAGAAAATCTCGAGTGCAACACTTTTAGAGATCTGCCTGAAGAGGAGGTCCACAAATATCAATTTCTGGGCTGGCAAACCGCACTAAGAGGTCTCCACTTATGCCAGGACCTGTCGGTGATCTAGGACTTCCCTTCCCTTCCCTATTTTTTATGGGTTCTTAATGTTAGTTTTCGTCACTCAAGTCTCGAGGCGGCCAGGCAGCATTTCCTCGATGACGTGCTGCCTCTCCGGCGTATGAGTAACGATTGCCAGAGAGCTGAGCTACCTGCCTGCCTTCACCATAGTCAGATAATTGAGTGAAATTTGGCTCGAGTGAGTGAAATTTGCTCTCGAAACCGGTTTGGAGAGAGATTATTATTATCTGTGAGGGTTGTTTACTCTCCGCAAGGCCGCTGTCGAGGCGATTGCAGCTGCTCCGGCTGCTCACGAAACGCACTCAGGACCGGCCAGCCGAGGTATCGTCAGCGCGACTGGCACTTCGGAAAATCAGTGAAAATCGTTGCCTCGTCGTGAGCGGTCTATGCCTTCTAGCCAAGCCCAGACCTGAGACCCTCTGTTACCAGAGTTGGTAACACGAAAGAACGTAAACCGTCAGCGAACCAAACAACAACTTGAAGCGTGCAGACAAAGCGAACCATTGGATTATCGCGCACGTTTCTTTAGCAATATAAAACAAACAAAAAACCAACAACACACATTAAACAAACGTTTTATTTTACAACACAGCACTGCCACTAAAATATTTTTATATATTTTACAAAATTGGCCAAATGTGACAAAACATAAAAATTGTTTGCAAATTCGTTAAAAGTGAAACAGTGACAAACTAAAATTAAAAACACATCACACAAAGAAAAACAACACACTGCTTTTAAGTTCAGTTCATTGGTGAAAAAAAAACAACCAGAAATTGTTGCTAAACAATCTTCAAAGAAAAACAAAAACGGTAAGTTTTGTGGCTTAAACGGAGCAAAGTTTAACAAAAGTGCAAGAATTGTGAAATTAGAAAAACTTGATAAAGTTGAGCTCAGAAAAATGAAAATAATAATTTAATAAATATTTCAAAAAGTTGAAAAATTGTCTGAGAGTTCCAAATTAAAATATAACGTAATTAGAAAAATATGTCAAAGGTTCTTTAGAAGAAAAGATAAATATACTTCATAAAGAAAATTTTAAATAAATATTCCTGAGATTTTTCATTCAATTGGTACATTTTTGTGGTAAAGAAAGTAAAATAAATATTCAGTAAAAAGAAAATAATAACTCCACAAAATATTATATTTTATTTGAAAAGAAAAATTCCACAGAGTTTCTGTAAATAAGTCAAACAAAAATAGTAAAAATTCCAAGAGTTAGTAAATTTAAATCTTATATTTTAGCTTCAAAAAAATAAAAACTAGTCCAACCAATAACTCAAGAAAAAATAGAAAATAGACAACAAATTTTCCAGCAAGCCATAAACAATTCTAAAAATACAGCAAAAAAATGAAAAGGGAACCACATAATAAAATTTAATCAATAGAAACAGTTCCACGAAAATGGGCTAATTAACCAAAACTCAACCGGAAAAAAAACCAAAGACTACCAGAGACTAATTTTTAAAATATTTTTCCCTCGTTTGTCTACCCGCAGAACTATGGAAAACTGAAAGAAATCGTGGAAAACTCCAAAATAAAACGAAACTGAACAGTCGCAAGAGACAGACAGAGAGAGCTAGCTAACTTAGCAACCGAAAACAAAAGAAAAAGAACTCGACCAAGATGCAGAGACACGCAATGATTGCTTTGGTGGCCATCTGGGGCATCCTGGCCAGCATGGGAGTGGAGCCAGCGGCGGGTTTGGCCAATTGCCCGCCGGGCTGCCAGTGCGACGACAACACCCTGGTGGTGCAATGCGGTGAGGGGCAACTGGATGTGCTACCCATTGCCCTGAATCCATCGATCCAAAGACTGGTGATCAAGAGCAACAAGATCAAGACCATTGATTCGTCCATCCAGTTCTATGCGGAGCTGACCTTCCTGGATCTGTCCTCGAACCACCTGATGACCATCCCGCAGCGCACTTTTGCGTATCAGAAGAAGCTGCAGGAGGTGCATTTGAATCACAACAAGATCGGTCAGATCAGTAATAAGACCTTCATTGGTCTCTCGGCGGTGACTGTTTTGAATCTGAGGGGAAACCAGATCTCGGAGCTGCATCAGGGCACCTTCTCTCCTCTGCTGAAGATCGAAGAACTGAATCTGGGCGAGAATCGCATTGGTTACTTGGATCCCAAGGCCTTTGATGGACTCAGTCAGCTGAGGATCCTCTATTTGGATGACAATGCTCTGACCACTGTGCCCGATCCTGTGATTTTCCAGGCCATGCCCAGTCTGGCTGAGTTGTTCCTCAGCATGAACACCCTGCAAAGCATTCAGTCCGGAGCCTTCCAGGATCTGAAGGGTCTGACGCGACTGGAGCTGAAGGGTGCCAGTCTGAGGAATATCTCGCACGATAGCTTCCAGGGATTGGAGGAGCTGCGCATCTTGGATCTCTCCGATAACCGGCTGCAGCGCATCCCATCCGTGGGTCTTAGCCAGCTGGTACGCCTGGAGCAACTCTCCCTGGGACAGAATGACTTTGAGGTGATCAGCGAGGGTGCCTTTGTGGGCCTGAAGCAGCTGAAGCGTCTGGATGTGAATGGAGCTCTGAGGCTTAAGCGTGTGATGACGGGAGCCTTTGGTGCCAATGGTAATCTGGAGTACTTGAATCTCTCTTCGAACAAGATTCTCGTGGAAGTTCAGGAGGGCGCTCTCAGTGGTCTGCCCCATCTGCGACATGTGGTGCTCAAGGCCAATGCGTTGACATCGCTGGCCGAGGGTCTGTTTCCCTGGAAGGATCTGCTTACCCTGGATCTGTCAGAGAATCCCCTTTCCTGCGATTGCCGAGTGATGTGGCTGCACAATCTGCTGGTGTCCAGGAATGCTACCCAGGAGGAGGTCTCCGAGCTGATGTGCGAGTTCCCCGAACGCCTGCGTGGCGAGTCACTGCGTCATCTGAATCCCGCTCTGATGGGCTGCTCCCACACTGATCCCCGCAAGCAGGCCTTGATTGGTGCCCTGCTCGTGGGTTCTGCTGCCACAATCACTGCTTTGGCTTTGGTTTTGTACCGTTGCCGCCATAAGATTCGGGAGACCATCAAGGGTGGTCTGCTGGGCAACTCTGCTTTGGGTCGGAAAGAGCGCGAGTACCAGAAGACTTTCTGCGATGAGGACTACATGTCACGTCACCAGCATCATCCCTGCTCTCTGGGTATTCACTCTACCTTCCCCAACACCTACACGGCACCACATCATCCAGGAGGAGCTCATCACTATGGCATGTGCCCCATGCCGGTGAATGATCTGGGAGGAGCTGTGGATCCGCAGCAAAAGTTCCAGCAATTGGCAGTGCCCACGGCCACAATGGTCAGCGAGAAGAAGTTGAATAACAACAAGGTTATGGCATCGCAGGGAGCTGTGGACGACAGTGCCTCCTTTGTGCTGCACATGAAGGCAGCCACCATGGGCAGGGATCCTCACCAGCAACTGAATCACTACACCAAACCGCAGTTCTTGTCGGCCACGGCAGCCGTTGGTGACTCTTGCTACTCCTATGCCGATGTGCCCCTCTCAATGCCCATGGTACATGGAGGAGCAAGTAACCAGCCACAGTTGCGCCTCACCCAGGAGCACTTTAAGCAGCGTGAGATGTACGATCAGGAGCAGCTTGGCGGTGGTGGTAGCGAGATCTTGGATCCCAACTACATTTACAGCAACACACACTACTCGATGCCGCTGGAGCAGATGGGCAGGAGCAAGACTCCAACGCCACCACCAGTGCCACCAGCATTGCCCCTGAGGAATGGTCTTTGTGCCACCACCGGACGACGGTCCTTCCAGCACAAGGTGGCTGCCCAGCAGCAGCAGCAGCAGCAGCAGCAGAATAACAACACTCTGCGCCAGTTTACGCACTGATCCGCAACCTACAGACGCCGCCAGCTGAGCATCTATGCTTAGTTGGAGTACGAGCTGCCCACCACTGTGATGCCAAAATCCTCCCCCCCAAGGAGCCCAACAAGGAGTCCCGGTCCCGCCTGTAGACCCACTTATTGACTAAGTAGAAAGTTAAGGAAGACATTGTAGTAGCTGTAGCTTAGAGGATAAGTCAGAGAAGAAGTCCAGTCTGTATATACTACTTTCCAGCACTATTTCGAACTTAAAGGATCTCTTCTGTCTGCAACTGTTTTCCAACCCCCTTAACATAATTACTTAATTAACCAATAAGCTGAATTGTAATATACATATATATATACGACATTAGATAAACTAAAGACAAACAAAGCACTGAGAGTCATTGTAAGCTTAATTTTAACTTATTTAATTTATTGTTAAATGCAAGGAAATCGAATCAAATGCAAGCCACTATTTATGTATTAGTTAGACAAGAAATTTATGCAAATTTAAGCGATAACAAGAGAAGAAAAAACAAAGAACGAAGAAATATATACGCAATGAAAGCAAAACTCATTTGAAAACAGAAAATATTACGCCCTGTGTACTCATTTTTCCTTCTGCCTGGGATTTTCCACCTTTCCAGCATACGTGGAAATTTGCCTTTAATTAAACATTTTCTGTTGCAAACGGCAACTTTTCCTCTGTGTCAATTTGTCTCGACATTTTCACTTTTTCCTCCACCTTTTTTTCCCTTTTTTGTAATGCTCAAAACTTTTGACTTTCAATTCAATTAAAAGTAAGTTGCGAGTGCGGGGAAAAAAAAAGGTAGCAAAATTAATATACTATTATTCAATAGTAACGAGCTTGGAAACTTTTGCGGACCGCGCTCAAGCGGAGCGTGTGGCTCGTTGCAAGTGCCACATGCAACCGGAGGAGGTTGCTATGAAGGGGGAGGATGTTGGGAGGCGGAGGTTCGGCATACATAATTTTCAATTGCGGGAAGCACATGCGAGCACATGCTGCAGAGCTACCCCTTCATTGTCACCTGCAATGCAGCTGTCGCCCGGCGGACCAGAAAGTTGCCAACTCACGTCGAAGTTTGCCCCTGGGAAACCCGAATTTCCCAAACCCAAGCCCCCAGTCTCTAACATACACATGGCGAAAATAATAGAGATTGTTTTGTACTTATAAGAAAATATTGAAATATTTTCATACAATTTCTTTCTCTGTGCAGTGTATCTTCTGTCCGCTCAATTTCAAGCCAAATCGAAACCTATTTAGACAATTACGAAAATAGAAATCATTCCAGAACGAGACCAGAGAGCAAGCAATGTACTGTAATAACAATAAATAAATAACAAAAGGCAAATAGCGGCCAGAACCAAGCCCCCCAAATGGCCAACAAAGGCAGGCAAGACCAGATACTCAACTCTGGAATGACTTCCAGTTGGAGCTGCGGGGAATCCATCATCAAATTTCGATTAAAAGGCGCGTGTATACCTCAAGCTTCACTCGAGAATCTTTGGGAGAGAGAGAGTTGAGAGTCATTCGCACTATTCAAGCTTCATTAGGAGGCAAAGTAACGAAAACATTTTGATTTCGATCATTACAATTTCCTTTTCAGGGCCCCCAGTTGAGGGAAAGAGCTACCGAAGAGCCCGAAGAGGTTAGTGGATCAAGACGCGGAGCCAGGCCAAGAGCCACAGCGAGTGTAATCATTAATTCGCCTCAACTCACTCGAAGATACGGATACAGAGATACAGATGCCTGGGCCAAGATACATTTAGCGATTGTGTGTATCCCCAGCTCATTCTGACAGACTCGCGGCCAGAGGCAATAATTATCGAGAGCCAAAAGCCGAAAGACTGGTCCATATATCGAGTTTGCCCTCCTCTCTGCCTTGATTGTATGATGACCATGTTGAAAATGCTCATTAAAGGCACTTCAGAAATTAAAGCATTTCACAATTGTTCCAAAAAGCGCGAGCCCCAACGTTTCAGGTTTAGAGTTCAGAGAGATTGAGATTTTCAGATTTTTTGATTTGGTTTTCGATTCGGCCCGCCATTTATCAGATGTTTGTTATCTATCTCTTGGCTCGAAGCTCAATTAACGTGGCTTGAATGTCTTTCAGGGGTCAAGCTTGGGGGCGCAACCGATGAGTTTCGGTTGCGATTGGGGTGAGGGGAAAGTCCCAACAAAAAAAAGAAAGGCTTCAAATTCTTGTCTTTTCTCTCCGGCAGTTAACATAGAAGTTTTGGTAATTTCATTTTAACGGATTATTATACCGAGTCTTGTAATTATTAAGTGTGAAACTGAGGTGGGTGTTGCCACAAGATAATACCAAAGTATTCATTATGGTTACAGAGGAATTAACAAGTTTTTAAGACTATAATTAACTTGGAGGAAGCTGTGTTTCTGAATTTTAGGGTGATTTTCCTTTATATTTTACAAGAACTAAGATTGATTAATAAATATTATAAATAAAATCAGCAATAGATTAAGTTATTTCACTTGCTCAACTATTGAAGGATTATTTTTATAACCTTTCAAAGTATTATTACTGTAGTTAGAAGCTTGTAAATATCAACAAAAATGCTAATATTTTGGGCTTTTAATGATCAATATTCGCTTTCATCTTAACTTTCGATTGCAAACTTAAAGGGCATATAAAATAGCCTTCCCAAAGTTACTTTTCTTTCTTCTTTAAGTTTCAAATCATCTAAAGAAAGGGTGTAAAGGCAACTAATCCTGTTTGCAACTCAGCCAAATCAGCTTAACACATCTTTTTAGACCTTATATCTGAAGTCTAACTAATGTTACTCCGATCTATATGCACTTATCACCCCATTTAGTCATGGTGGACTATAAACTCCGTGTTACTCCAGGTAACACATGAAACTTAAACCCAAAGCGTTAAGGCAGCCAGCCGCAAACCTCTACGCCTTCAAGGCAGCTCATAAAATGCTTCCAATGACAGTTTTTCATTTGACAACAATTTTGTGCGCATCTTTTGGGTTTTTTGTTACACCTTACAATGGGCCCTAACTTGGTTGAGTCTCTGGGTCTTTTCCTATCCCGCCGAGTGCCTGTGAAATTTCCCAACAATAACCCGAACACAATTGTCCCGCTGGGCGGAGGAGACCGTGACGCTTGTCCCATGCTGTGATCGGTATGCCCAGGGCTTGGCTCTCCTCCTGCTCAACATTAATTTCTCATCATCGGAGAGGGAACCAAAGGTTCGAGACTTCCAACTGCGTATTAATGGAAATGTTATAAGAGATTAGCAGGCACCGAAGAAGGAACGAAGAGATGCCCAAGAATACAAGACAACAATTGCAACTGTTTTTGTTCATTTAATGCGAATTTTTATGCTCGACCATATACAAACGCAATTTGGCAAGACGAAGAAGGGAAAGGGACTCGGAGTCGGGCGTGATCTACCTAAAAACTCAACTCATTATGGTCAATAATCATTGGAGATATTTTGGGTTCAAAGTCTGTGAGATTGTGCAAGACTTTCCCAACAATATCGGGTAATCAATCTGAGGAGCTACCGCCTTTTCGGTCAATTGTTTTCTTCAATTGTGTTTCCCTATATGGGCCAGAAAATGAGGTTACATTGGGTAATCTTTACCCAGGGGAGATATGTAACAAGATAGGGAAATGTACAACAAAAAGATCGAATAACTAATATATCAGATGACAGCATTGATATAAAATAACATTTAAAATTAAGATCTGCAGCAGATATATATTTATTTAATTGATTTGATGTGCCTTCCCAAGAAATAATCAATAATTTTTGATTAAATTAATCCAACTAAGTCATATGATGAAAATGTAATGAAGTTTGTAATTATGATTAATGATTGATTCCCCACATTGATGATATATCCATATAACAAATATATACATGAAATCTCTGCCCACTTACAATAGATTAAATTTTATACTCAAGTGACTGGCACTCATAAATGTAATTTCTGTTGAACAAAAATAAGCGGTAAAAGGGAGAAATCAAGCAGCAAGCTGAAGCCACTGAAGCGACAGCATTTTTAATTAAATAATTATTATAATTGTTGTTGTAGCTTAAGAAGATTTTCATTTTCAGTTGGATTTTTCATATTTTCGCACATTGCCATAAAAATTTAAAAAAAAAACCTATCTACGAGAGAGTGTGTGTGTATAATTATGTCAAAATATAAGACCCACAAAGTAAACGAAATTTCCCAACAGCCAACATGAATGTGAGTGAGTCTGGAAAATGGGTGGGAGTGAGTGTGTGAGTGCAAGTGCGTTCGAAACTTTTGCAAAAATATTTTAAATTAAAATAAAAACGAGAAGAGAAGAAAAAGGAATTGGGTCGATGGGAGAGTCGACCCTAAGAGCGCTCTATAAAATATTAAGTACTTTGGAGAACATAGTTACACAGAATGCAGTGCAATCATTATAGTTTATAGCTGTGGTAAATTCTTTAAAGAGTATTTAATGTTCAAAAAATATTATAAAAATATTTTAAGCTCTCATAAATTAAAGAGTATTACTTTTGAGTTCAAACCATGACCAGAAAAGTACTCTCCCTGCTCCGTTTGGGTAAATAAAAACGTGTAAATCTGCTGCAAAGACCTCTGGCATCCACCAGCTCCTCCTTCCAGCTTCAGGGACCTCGGCTGTTGGCAACTTGCAACCTCAACGACTGACAAACAGAAATCGGAAAACAGCATCGAACATGCCGAGGAATCATGTTCAACTCCTGGCCAGATGGACACATCCTGCTCTGAACACGGCAGCCGTTGTGCAATAATGCTAAATTGTTTTTCAATTATTTTATAGGTTATGGTAATATTTATTTTAATTAAAAACAAATACGCAGAACAGTGGCAGACATGAACACCGTTGCCCCCGAGGCAATTTCTGAACCCTTTTTTTAGGGAGTACACTTTATATGCATATGCATAGCCAAAGGTGGCAAAAAACTGGATTCATTTGCAACATTTAAGGGTTACAAATAAATTAAGGAAAAAATTCTGGAAAACATTTAAGGTTTTTTATAAAAAATAATCTTTATCAGCCACATGCAGAATCCTTTAAGTGGGTTTCTTTATTTTCAATGGAAATGCAGTTAATATAAGTTGAAACTTATTGGGGAGAAGTAAATCAATACGGAAATAATTCTGGGAAAAATTTATAAAAACTTGAATAGCTTTAAAACGTATCGATTATATATCAATACTTTTAAATCTGGATTAAGTATTCTAATAATCACCAATTAGTTTCACATTTCAAAGAACAAAACAACAATGAGTGTCTTGATTGGACAACATTTCTATTTTGAAATTTTTGTCTTATTTTCCAGCATTTTCCGCTTAGGTAAACAGCCTAAATATTCATTTTTTAGACCGCACAATTTGCGGTTTTCTGGTCAATCAACTTATCCAAAGTTGGATCGACAGCATTCCGATTTTGAATGAAAATTCAAAACAAGGAATGACCTAGTGCACGGAAAACAAAAAAACGAACTCTCAA